TCGGAAACGTAATTGTAATATCGAATGTATCATCCAAAGTAAGCGTTGCTTAAATATATATCAAAACAAGTGACGAAAAATGAGCAACAGACAACAATGTTTAACGCCAAACGTAGTAAATAGACAAGGTTAACACACTACAGCCGAATCCAAAAGCAGGACTCTATAGAAAGAGTTAATATTGTACGTTAGATGAGATCGACAAAGTGTTATTTATTTAGAGTTCAAACACAACTCTCTCACAAATGTGCCGTCGCCCCCCTCTGTCTTTTTTACAAATACTTTCATGGTAACTGCTCCGATGACCAGCATTCATCGGTACCCATACTTCATTAATTTAAGCGTTCTATTAGGCTGGCATCTTGCTCTCACCCTTTCACTGTTAAATTTAGCCGTCTCTTCTACTTCAATAGCTTCATGTCTCTCACCTCTCGCCTGTGGAACCCCCTCCTTTTCTTGTTTCTCTGATAGCTATAATCTCCAACTATTCAAATGTAATGTTAATCGACGTCTCCAGATTTCTTGATCTATCCCCTAACCTTCTCGTCAACCTTTCCTCTATCACTCCTCTTTGCTCTCGCTCCAACTTGCGTGCTAGTGGCTTCTCACCTTGCTTGGGGGTGAAACGCTTAAAAAAAAACAATAAAAAACTAAATGGATATTTACGAGGGTAAGTCAAAAGTTATTTCGCGATTTCGCTATAACATATCTTCAGCTTTGTGACATTGCTTTCTGCTTGAGCTAGCTTATAGTTGGTTTGAGCTTGATTGCACCAGTTGGTATGCGAGGAAAGAAAATGGGGGAAAAAGGAAAGAACTAGAAACGTGCAAACAAGGCGAAAAAATCGTCCAGCGCCTTAAGTTTCCAGTTCAAAGACAAAAAGAAAAAAAACAAGCGAGTAACAAAGCTAAAAGTTAAAGTGCTCAATACGCTAATTAGAGCAAAAATAGATCCTAAAGAGCCAGGAACTACCTACCTAGGTTTAACTTGAACGGATCTGCAGGTAATATATATATATATATATATATATATATATATATATATATATATATATATATATATATATATATATATACCGGTAAGATGAGAAAGAATAGAGTACAATTCCAACGTTCGCAACATTTAAAAGAGGGATCAATGCAAAGTAGAGCAATATTCTTTATTTTAGGATATTACATTGAAAACACACACACACACACACACATATATATATATATATATATATATATATATATATATACTTTATCTCAGAATATTACATCGAAAAACATGTCAAAATCGTTACCCAGTTGCAGTTGTGTTTCGATGCGTATACAACGCGTCTCATCATTCCAATTATTAACTCTTAATAATTACTCTAGTAATTAAATGATAAAAATTAATAATTACTCTGAGTAATTTACAATCGCCTGATGAGATGCGTTGTATTCGCATCGAAACACGACTGCAATTGTTCAACGATTTTGACATGTTTTTCGATGTAATATTCTGAGATAAAGTATATATATATATATATATATATATATATATATATATATATGCCGTAAAACAAAAGAAAACAAACTTGCCTTCAGTTTATCTATATATATATTAGTTTACATCATTTTACAGCCACGTATAGTTAGCAGTTAGGATGATTCAATCGCCATTGCAATTACTTCCCCAAAACAGAAATTACTTATGACTCAACATTAGCTATCTATCTATCTATCTATCTATCTATCTATCTATCTATCTCAGTCTGTTCATTCTCTCTCCCTCTTTCTCTCTCCCTCTTTCTCTCTCCCTCTTTCTCTCTCTCTTAGTTTACTTCATTTAACAGCCACGTAGTAGTTAGGATGACAGAATCGTCATTACAATTGCTTTCCAAAAACGGAAATTACTTTTGACTTAATATCTATCTATCTATCTATCTATCTATCTACCTATCTATCAAGTTCAGTCTTTTCATATCTATCTATCTATCTATCTATCTATCTATCTTTATTTTTCAATGGGTTTCTCTGACATTGCAAAACTAATAAATACTTTGTTTCTTTTTATTTTTCTATCTTTCTTGACATGAAAGACCTGAAAGTGAGAGAATTAAATTATTGCTCTCTCTCTCTCTCTCTTCCCCTCTCTCTCATACGCATATACTTTCTCTCTCTCTCATTTTCTAAATCTCTCACTCTCTCTCTATCTCTTAATCTATCTCCCTCTTCCTTGACATCTAATAACTATTGCCCATCTTCTCTTTATCCCTCGCTCTCATACGCATGCATTCTCTTCCTCATTTTCTCTCTCATTCTATCACTCTATCTCTCCCTATTTCTCCCTTTCTTGACGTTAGTGTGAGAATCTAATAACTATTACTCTCTCTCTCTTCCCCATCTCCCCTTCTCCTCTATCTCTCTCATACGCACAAACTCTCTCCCTATCTATCTATCTATCTATCTATCTATCTATCTATCTATCTCTCCCTTTCTTGACGTATGTACGTGAATCTAAGAATTGTTACTCCCTCCCCCTCTCTCTCATAAGCTTACACACTCTTCCTCACTTTCTCTCACAATCTCTCTCTATCTGTCTATCTACCTCTCTATATATATCCCTTTCTTGACGTATGTGCGAGAAACTAGTAACTATTATTCTCTCTCTCATATCCACACACTTTCTTTCTCATCCTTTCTCTCTATCTCTCCTTTTCTTGAATTCTGTTCGATAATCTAATAACTACTACTACCCCCTCCTCTCTCTCTCTCTCTCTCTCTCTCTGATGCACAAACACTTTCTTTCCCACCCTCATCCTCTCTCTCTCTCTCTCTCTCTCTCTCTCTCTTATTCTCTCTCTAACTCTCAATCTATCTCACCCTTTCTAGACATCTGTGTGAGAATCTAATAACTATTTCTCTCTGTCTCTCTCTGTGTCTCTGTCTCTGTCTCTCTCTCTCTCTCTCTCTCTCTCGCACGCACTTTCTTTCTCGCTATCTCTTATTTACTCACTTTCTCTATCTCTTTCTTTTGACCGGGAGAGAGACATTCTTTTATGAAAACATGCATTTTCCTGAGAATATATAATCGTTATGGATGCTCAGACAAAAGGGGGCAAATTACTTGTGATTCTCTATCGATACATTCATCTCTATGGTGAATGGAAAAAAACTATAAGTGGAAAAGTACTGTTAAAAACTTGACTCTTTTAAAAAAGAAATGTTTCGTATATAATTGACAAAGGTATCATCATAAATAGTGCTGACATTATATGTTTATTATACCCTCTGATCAATCATCGTAATGGTCATGGTGTAGTTAGCTGTTCCCGCGTAAGGAAATACATTCACTTAACAGTTTCATTTCACCCCAAGCAAGATAATAAAGTCACTAAGATACAAGGGATTACTGAATGTCAGAAAATATGAGAAAGAAAAAACACTATCAAGGAGGGAGGACAATAAAAGAAAACATGTATTAAGTAGGTAGAGGATAATTATTACAATTACATTTAAATTTTTGAAGATCAAATTTAACCTGGAAAAGCAAGAAGACAGAATAGGAAAACCAGATCATATATGGCAGCAATTCTATCTAAGCATTCTATCATCATGGTTAAAGCTAACATCCAGAAAAGTGACACATAATGCTTTTTCTTACCGTTTTCCGCTGACAAATAAATACTTTCATGGTAAGTTCCACAAGCGAGAAGTGTCATAAAAGAAAATGTAAACATAGAACTTACGGTTACATCTGGCTAATTAAACTGTAAGATGATGAGACCTCACTGCCAATCTAGTACTGCGCTTAAATTTATAAACTCAAGGTATCATGGAGGAAGGTTCATCAGAAGAGTTACCATGAAACTATTTATAGAAAAGGCACTGGGTATCTACGAGACGACGGTGGGAAAGTGACTGAAGACGAGATACCAGGTCAGGACTAATGACATTGTAGATTCTCTAAATATATACCAAGATAACCTGACTAAATGTAGCAAAGCAAGATCTAATAAATATGTATGATAGATTCTGGCGAGAAAAATGTCTAGAACGACGCAGTAGAACAAATTTCCTTGCAGTATACCTAGTAATTGATTCCGTATAGTATTTTCACTTCATGTCAGCGGAAAACGGTAAGAAAAGGCATTATGTGTCACTTTTCTGGATGTTAGCTTTAACCATGATGATAGAATGCTTAGAATATTACTGCCATATATGGTCTGGTGTTCCCATATATTTGGAGATTCTTGATAAAATCCAAAGATTAATCAGTAATATGATTGGGAATGACCTGGTGTCTTGGCTTAAGTCACTTTCCCTTTGTGGTAAAGTTGTTTCCTTGTGAATTTTCTATAAATACTTTCATGGTAATTGTTTGAATAATCTTTTCGCTATGGTACCTAGATTTTATGAATTTAAGCGCAATATTAGATTGGCGTAGAGGTCTCATCAATTTAAATTGTTATATTTAACCGTAAGTTCTAAGCTAACAATCTCTTTTCTCTCACTTCGTATGGAACTCACTTCCGGTTCTATGCTTTCCAGTTAACTTTAATCTTCAAAAATGTAAATGCATTCTCAATCGTTATCTACTGTCTTCTTAATTACTCTACTCGATCCTTAGTAATGTTTCTGCTTAATTCTATTACACCCAACAAACCCTTGTAACATTCTAAGTACTAAACATACGCATACAGTAATATACTTTAATTTTGCACGACCGAGGCAGGGTACACCTTGGATGAAAAGTAAAATGTTTATCTCTCTCAAAACACTTGAAGGTAGCATAGAAAAATAACAACACTCTTTGATTGTTTTACCCCACTCCCCATTATCGCTTGCCATATTCAGCAAGCTATATTCATCTTCCCTTACAACCAATTATCACCATTTTTTGCAGCCTTGCTTCCATTACCATTCGCGCGGCTTTATGTAAAAATCATACCAGCCTGCTCATGATATGGAGTCCCTGCCATTGCTAAACGGAACAGTCCCCAGCTAACTCACTACTACACATGTTCAACGTTGAAGACAGACTAGACACAAATGTACACGAATGAGAAATGTAACCTAGTCTAATGGCAACACAGCACCATCCACCGTAAACTTTCTTCAAACTTAATAACTGAAAAAGGAAGGATTTGCCGATATAGGTTTATATAAACATTTGTCCTTGTTTTGGTGTGAGAAACACGCCCCTGAAAGTATTTTTGATACTCCCTGTATATACTCTACATTTCAAAAGTTTTAGGCGACCCTGGTAAGTTTTAAATTGTCTCAAAAATTGTTTCGTACTTTGCGTAAGAGAAAATTATTATATATGGTTAAAGAAAGTGAGACATGATGCTCTTTTAGAAATGTTATTATGAAAAAAAAAAAATCATTTTATGATTCAATTTTGCTCTCGTCAAAATATCCTCCTATAACATTGATTAATGCAGCACAAACCTTTGACATTCGTTGCAAAAGTTTCTCAAATTATAAGTTTGATAATTCATTCCATTCTTTTTTCAATGATTCTAAGAGCTCTTTTTTATTTCTTTATTTTTTTTCACTCCTCTGTCAAGTTCATTCCATGGTAATTCTGGATGTAGTTTCAAACATTTGAACTGAAATATATATATATATATATATATATATATATATATATATATATATATATATATATATATATATATATATATATACCTCTCCCCTCTCTTTGCCGTAACACTCATTTAGATATGTCTGTATTACTGTCGTCTGTCTCCTCCTCATTTTTCTTTTCTTTTTCCCCTCCCCTCCCATTCCTATATATCATTTCCGTTAAGTTAACCATCTAAATAGGTCAAGGTTCGGTCCTCCTCCTACCCCAATATAAAACATGCTTAAGAGAGATATGAAATTAACCCTCCCTATACTCTACCTTGTCTCTTTAACTACAACTCTCACCCCCCCACCTGTTAAATTACAAAAATTACACTACCCATCAATTTGTAATCCCATTTTTCCTTTCATTTCGTTGTTGGAATTGTTACCTGATGATCCGGAGTCCTTTAAAAGGATTTTGGTGAAATAAATTATTGTAATGGTACCTTAAAGTGGTCTGTTTTTCATTAAATTTATATATATATATATATATATATATATATATATATATATATATATATGGGTAAAATAGCAGGAAAGACTGGGTTCTATAGCCTTGAATGGTAACTGGTCTACGAGAAGGACAACTCTGAATTCAAAACCTTCGGAGGGTCGTTTGGGAACCTTGTGACACTTAATGCACCAGGTCTCTGTATTCGTCCCTTCAAAAAGTATGGATGGTCCTGCACGAAGCCTTCACCACTATAATCAAATCTCATGTGCCGGTGTCGAGCTGTCGGCTTCCTGGAAACTGATCTGCTTGACCCTCACGTCGAATAATATATATATATATATATATATATATATATATATATATATATATATATATATATATATATACATTTGAACTGAAATATATATTATGTGTTTTGTGTGGGAATATATATATATGTGTGTGTGTGTGTGTGTGAGAGAGAGAGAGTGTGTATGTGTGCTTAGCATGTGTGTATGTATATATATATATATATATATATATATATATATATATATATATATATATATATACATGTGTGTGTCTCCGTGTCGAGTGTACCTGTGTCTGTGTGTGAATGCGCGTGTGTGTAGGTGTGTAATAGACTCAGCGGCTATTTGATTTCCTTTCAAGCACTGATAACCACTAAACTCCCTACACATTTTATTATGTGTAAACATATACGTAGACATTACCATATTTTGAAAGCTAACTGGTACTTTTTTATTTACAAATAAGACTTGAAGAGGGGTTGGTTCCGTGAGACTATCTTGCCCTAGACATACTACTGCAATAAATATGGTTCAGTTATTCGATAAGGTCAGATTGGCAGCTGATCTCAAAAGTGACCTACAATCTGCTGTTAACTGAGGCAAGCAATGGCTTGTTAATTTTAACGCTTCCAAAACGTAACTGCTTTTTATTAATCGCCTGAGAGATTCGGTTTCTGCTTTCCATCCTCTAGAACGATTTCGGGCACCTACGGCACGCGTGCCACGCGTGAAACACCAAGAAATTCCCAATGGTACGCAACCGCAAATGACATCACAAAATCCGAACCAAAACCAGTACAACACAAAGAAGATATTTAGCTGTTTCAATTTTAATATATACTAAAGTATATATACCATATATTACTATATAAAATATATTGTAGAACAGGTATATTGACCTTCACTTGTATAAAAATACGTCATCTGTTGGCACACTGGATGATTTTAAAATGCAACAATACTATCTTTTAAACCATTACTTGTCTAGATTTTTTGTTCTTTTATTACAACTGCTGTTGTTGATCGATATGGATCTGATGAAGGCCGGAGAATACAACGGCCGAAACGCTGTGATAAAAATAGCAACAAAGATGAAGATAATAGTCGGAATGTAAATAGTATAAATGGGATATATATTAACCGTTATCCAAAATTGTAAAGAGAATGCAGATCAGAACATTACTAATGCTCTACAACAAGTGTTGGCTACTTACGGTACGCGTGCTACACGTGACACGCCATGCAATGTCTTATG